GAGAAAGTCAGCGTACACAAATGGAAAACATTAGTAAATTTCAAAGTGAATTAAATACATTAAAGGACGATTTACTATATCTTACACAAGGAGGATATATTAGCCATGGGTCTAATCAGCCCCAGACAACAGGAAGCCCTTCCAGACCATGCAGCTAAACCCTAATGCAGATATCTTCAGTCCTGCCAGAAGTCACATTCCAGACATGAGCGTCAGCAATAGGGGTGAACTAGTACGAAGGAAACCACAGGAACTCGATGGGAAGGCACCGTAGTAAGCTTATAGAGCAAAATTTGAGCTCCTGGCAGAAATGAATGGATGGACAGAGGAGCAAAAACCAGTGTACCTGGCAACGAGCTTGAAGGGACAACCACTGGAAATACTTGGACAGTTGTCAGCAGATGACAGGCACAACTACAGAGCACTGGTAGCAGCTCTAGAACTCAGGTATGGAACCCAAAATCAGATAGAAGCATACAGGGCTAGGTTTAGGACGAGAGTCCGTGCTAAAGGGGAGAGCCTGCAAGAGTTGGCACAGGACTTGGAAAGCATGGCACACAAGCCCTACCCAACTGCACCACCCAATCTGTTGCTGAGGGATCAGTTCGTAGATGCCTTGGACAGTCCACAACTGAAGATACAAGTAAAGCAAGTACACCCCTCTACTATGTAGGATGCAATGGCCAGAGCTCTTGAATTCGAATCCTACGTTAAGTAAGAGGTACCAAGGTTGGTACAGTCATCAGGATTCAAGGCCAGAAAAGGGTAGCTTTCAGAGAAGTTTGAGGGACTTTGCTGGCACTGTAACAAACCTGGGCACAAGAGAGTTCAATTCCGGCAACTTCAACACAGGGAAGATGCCACGGCAGAAAAGGCTGCTACCCAGAAAGGTTGTTGGAACTGTGAAAAGCAAGGACATATGAAGAGCCAGTGTAAGAAAAACACTACCAATAAGTCAGCTTCGGGGAGACCAGTAGTGGTTGGTGTTGACGGACGCCCATCAACCCCATTGTGAAAGTCCCAACACCTCAATGTAAAATGGCAAGCACACATCGTGCCTACATGACAGGAAAGTTGGATGGCCAAGAGTGTCATAGATTCTGCATCTCAGCAAACCCTTGTGAGTATCAAAGTGCTAGATCACAAAGGACTACCAAAATCTATACAGAAGCTCTGTTGTGTGACAGGACATTATACAAAGTTGTGGGGACCAGAGTGGGTAACTATTGAGCTCATGGGCATAAAGGGCAGACACAAAGTATACTTGGCTGACATTGAAGACCCATGCATATTATGGTTGGACTACTTACTACCGAGGAAGTGTGTAGTTAACTTTGATAACATGACGTTTAGGGACAACAAAGGCTAAATTTCGGTAAGTGTTAAAAGAGAAGTTGGGCTAACCAGGTGCCATTAAGCTGAAGTCAAAGTGACCGAAGGAGTTGATGATGGTGAAGTGGAACCA